AGTGAGCAGATCTGGGGAGCTATAAGAAGAGAGCTCTACGGTTTGCTTTGTGTGTGATTTGTGTTTGTGAGTCGGAGAGAAGAAGCAACTCGCAAGCACTATGATAGATCCTGGTTTCTCTCTCCGTTATTGCTTCGTTTCTGTAACATCATTCTTCTCCATTTAGATTTCGCCACGTGGAAATGCCACAAAATTAACCCCCGTCGACGACTGGGCCATATTTCTTAGGCCCATATATAATTTGTTTTAGTATAGATCCATATTTATTTGATTCTTGTGTTATTTTAGTATGAAATTATTATCCGGGATCCGAGAACCGATCCGTTCTCCATTCGGAATTGCTCCGAAAATTAGGATATCCGGGGAGTCCGGATCCGGATAAAGATAGTAAAATCTAAGATCCGTGAAAAAGAGGATCCGGATCCGGACGCATTAAATATATTAAAAACATATATATTATATATCTATTAAGCTAATTTTATATAAATAAATATATATAAAAATTGATTTTAGTTTTTTATAATAAATTATATTTATAATGAAAAATATCATTTAAAATATTAATTAATAATTTTTAAAAATATATTTTTATTTATTTATTAATTATTTTAATTATTTTTAATATTAATTTCGGATCCGGATATCCGTTTTTTTTGCCGGATATCCAGAGTCCGAAGGTCCCGATTCTGGATCTGGGTAGTTTTTTTTCACGGATCGGACGATTCCGGATCCGTTCCACCCCTATTTTCATGTACTTAATTCTCTCAACCACATCTACGTAAAGACGTTAAGCAAAACGAAAACCAAAATCAAAAGATGTTAGTTTTGGAACTAATCAATGTAAATCAAGAAAATGTGAAAGACAAAAAAAAATGAAAATAAAAAGCTGTATTGTATTAATTAAAAAAAAACGTTTTAATAACACTCATATATATATTACTATTAGACACCAACAAAGTGAGAAACAACAATCTGTAAAAAAGAAGGAAAATTGTAAGTTTGAAGAAAAGAATGGAGACTAATAAGACATTTTCTGTGGGAATTCTCTTAATCACTATTTTGACATCGTCTACTTATTCTAGTTTAGCCACACAAAATGACGACGAACCTTTGATCGATCCTAACTGTGATTTTAAGAGGGAGATTGCGGTATCGCCGACTGCAAGTGAATACAAAGACGATGTGTTGAACAAAGAATCACCAGAATACTTAGGATATATCGTAAATTGTGCTCAGGAGAGAGGACTTAAATGTACTAAGAAATGATGGAAGAGATTATGCAAAACAAAACAGCTTCCAAAGATTGTTGTTTGAAGATAGTGAAACTTGGGAAAGATTGTCACGTGGGGTTTACAAAGATAATGTTCAAGACTTACTATCTCAAACGTTTTGCATCTAAAAGTCTTCTCAAGACTTATAAAGTTTGGAATAGATGTGTTGCTCAAATTGAAACTACTGCACCATTTTCTGGTTAAATGATGATTTAAATCAATTGTTTTGTCTACTTTATGAGATCATATAATATCTTGAGAAATTTAAAAAAATGTCACATTTCTCATGCCACTTTACAAAAATGTCACATTTTTGCAACTTTTACAAGACTAACACTCATTTTTCTGTATATTCTCTTATTACCTTTAGTTATAAATTTTTTTTGTAGAACCATA